TTTAATTTGATATAGGGGTTTAGGTATCTACATCTTAAACCGGACGCGCTACATCGCTTGGACGTGAGACACCCCTGAAGGTATACGGTAACCTTAATCTATCGAAGTAGACGCGTGCTGAAAGATGCCGGAAGCTGCTATGAGCCAACGTGACTTGTCAACTTGAACATCCTGTCAGCCGGCCTAAGGTAAGAAAGTGCCAGTTGTATTGCTTAGCCGAACGATGAAAATCTGACTTTCTGAGAAAAACTGTGTCCGTTTCGGATCTTCCCGTGAATTCTTGGTTAGTTTATCAATTGTGACAATTTTACTCACCCAGGGTAACGCGGGTTCTGGTTGGGTTCGACCTATTAATGACGTAGCCTTTGACGTAGCCACGAGCTTCCGCATCGAAGCTGAATTATATGCGTGTATTATATTGCTCAGATGAGATACAATGGAAGAAAGTGACGGAGAGAAGGGAAACCAGCCCTCAGTTAAACTAGAAAGCGATGTTCTCAATAGCATCAGACATACCTTTCAAACGTTAGATGAAACGAATTCAGGAAAAGTTGCCAAATCAAAGTTACAAGTTCTGTGTGCGAGCATATGTCGTGACATTGGTGTGACGTTCGATACACAACATCTAACGGACTTCAAGTCTAGTTCAACTACAATTACTTTCCAAGATTTTATACAATATCTTCAAGATCATCTTCTTGTAAAAGGTAGGCTAGATATTAATGTTTGATCACGCAGCTGCAATTAGGGTATAGGTAGGGATGGCAATCGTCGTTTCTAATTGATGATCGACCATTACAGTACTTCGATTTGTTAGAATTATTCAAAAGGTTAATATTTGTTATAAATGATCATATATTAGAGAGCGTTTTTTTTTAATTCCTTCATAGCTGGAATTTTCGACTGTGACCCAAATATGTTTTCACCCTCACATGTGTGCCTTAACCTTCTCATCTCATCTCATTACTTATCGTGCCCCGCAGGACACCAGACCTACGGCCTAAACTAAAAGACCTAAACTTAAAGCTTTATATATACGGTACTCCATAACCTGAATTGACCAGTCAAGTTACACTCAGTAATCTCAGTACAGGTAGAGCATATTAGTTCACCGAATTAAGCATATTGTTTGCGTTTATTTTTGACTCTGTTTACCGAGTGTGATCTTACTATAGGTCTTTAAACACATCCTGACTTCACCATGATCGAGGGATTCTGATGGAGACATTTTAATCAAACTGTGGTTCAGAAGACAAGTATAGTTAATATTTGGAAATAATCAACTATGAAACAGTATAAAAATTCTTTTCTCCTATTAACAGCCCAAGCAGAGACAATAGATTACTCCAAAGTCCACCAGCTGTGTTGGACAATCGTACAACAGAAGTTCTTCAAATGTTCTGACCATGAATATTTTAGTGAAGATGCAGCATTCCAGCAGTTTCTTGTTTTTAATATTTTGGATATTGAAGAAATTTCTCAAGTTGAAAAGGAAGAAATTGCTATAATACTGGAGAAGTTTGTACATGCCATGGGAAAAGGTTGGGATCCAAAGCCTCTGCAAGAATACTGTGAAGAAAATCACCTAACGTTCTGGCAGTATTTGGAGTGTTTGGAGAAGTATATCTCAGGGAATGAGAAATGGTGAGGTTTTCTCATTTTCAGCCTTACTCTTTATAGTATAGTTTGTATTCAAATCTAATGTATGTCATTAACATTTGTGGTAATTAGGTTTTCAACTAATAATATTATTTTTTATGCCACTACATGTATGAATAAGTTAATAAAGATGGTGAATTTTAAGCTCGGTAATGAAATGTGAAGGTGAATTAATCAACAGGACACGAGTGTGGGACAAAGAATTCTGAGTCCCCGACAGGAATCGAACCCATGACCTCCTGAACACCGGGCGGGTGCTCTATCCACTGAGCTACGAGAACTCATGGAGAGCAAGGTCATTTAACTGAGTT